CATCTATCCATCCATCCATCCATCCCTCCATCCATGCATGCATGCATGCATGCATGCATGCAGCTAGGTACTTTATGTGTTTATGCACATGCATGTATATGCATGTGTTCATGTTTCTTCCGCATCTGTGGCCTAGGGCATTCCAACCTTCCAGCATCAACAGACCCCAAACCAAGGACCTTCAACCCCAAACCTCCGAACCCTAACGACCTATGCAGTCAAGTCCCCAACCCTCAGCCCTAATGGATAAAGAAGAACAATTTTGCCCTAAACCCTGAATTTTGCCCTAAACAATTTTGCCCTAAACCCTAAATCCTGCAGCCAGAAATCTGCCTAAACATAGGTCGGAGCTTGCCAACGGGGGCGATCCATTTTCAGTTCCGTGGGAGGAGGTGCGGGAAAGGATCCGCCTCATGAGGCGGGACAGGGTTGTGCAATTGCAGCTTCATAGGCTAGTCGGGTTGGGTTAGAGTTTACATTTTGAGGTTTCATGGGTTTTAGAGGTATATAGGCATTTAGGACGCATGAAGTCAGAATACATGGAGTTGAGGAGCGTGGGGTTCCTGGCTTCAGGGGAGGGCTAAGGGTTTCAAGGGTTGGGGTTTAGGCCCACACTCCCTTGGGGTCCAAGTACTTAATAACCATATACTTCCCCTAAACCTGCATTACAGTAGTAGTCGCACAGTTTCCAGCACCCAACTATTGGGTAGATGGACCCTTGGGGACCCCCAAGCCTAAAGCCTGGACCCTCAACAAATCCAACCCAAGGCAAGGTGGTGGTATTGACAACAAGCCTCTGCTTCTCTGCGCGGGCCTCGGATGGTTTAGGGTATAGGGTTTAGGGTTTAGAGTGTCACACACTTAATGGTTTAGGCAAATCTTTGAATGTGTACATGAGGTGTGCGGTATCCTTTGCGGATACCACAAAGCGTGGACCCACTTCCCAGAAAAAAAAGAGTTTTACCATTGTCGTTGGGCGCCAGCCACTGAGGTACCCCTGATGGCCTGGTTGGCACCCGACGTGCCACATCAGTTCCTGTCCTACATGCCTTGCTGCATTCCTTTTGCTGCAGCAAGACGGATGCCGCCAGTCAGGCAGAAAGACGTCTAGTGATGAATTACATTGCAAACTGCTACTGTGAAGACAACAGAAGCAGCGAACACCTGCTAGACGGAAACTGGGGCAGAGATTTGGAACGCTTTGAAGTTTGCTTTGTGAAAAGCCAGGCACATTCATCTGAACATATATGCAGACTGTAATTCTGAATTCCATTGCAGTACTACCGTCCGGCCCCCCATGCTCTATCTATTTGCTGGAGAGCTTCGTTTCCAGCTTAGGAATTCGTATTGACGGCGATGCATACGAACTGGAGAATATGGAGACAGTTTCTGAAGCTCGGTGAGGACCTCAGTTTTCCAGGCGCACGGAAAGTTTTTCCAAGATTTTGTGGCGTTTTTCTGGGAGTTGATGGCATCGGCTCATTCATTTTGGGGCTGCGCCTTGGGATCCAAAGTCGAAAGCCCCAACCCTTGAGCGTTTATCACCCAAGTGATCCAGATGGTAATAATGAATTGGGTGAGTTCCAGCCCATCACCACACCTAGAGGATATACACAGCGTCGTCCACATGACCATGATTTGACCGAATCACTACTTCAGCCATGAACCCGAAACAACGTGAGGAGTTTAGGGTTTGGGGTTTGGTTGAGTCATGGGTTCCAGCTGGACCGCTCGCCTGAGGCATGAAGGACACCTGGGGAGTTGCCGAAATTATGGCCTACTGGACACCCTCCCGGGTTCCAGGATCTAGTTGTTTTGGCAGAATCCCTCACTGCAGGGGTGATTGCTACCATAAATCCTGAACCAGTACGAAGCCTTCAAACCCTAAAATCCTAAACCCAAAGTCCGAGGGTTTGGAAAATCTTAAACCCTAAATTAGGGTTTAGGGTTTAGGGGGTTAGATAGGGGATTAATATAGGGGACTACTATAAAGGATATTAAGGGGGATACTAGGACTAAACCCGAATTCCTAAACCCTAAACACCTTGCACCTTCATCCCGAAATCGCCTCTCCCAAGGCGACTGGATGGCTCTCCTGAGTACAAGCATGAGCACAGCCGCAGCCTTATGTGAGCTAAACTCCGTTTAGGGTTTAGGGTTTAGGGTGAGGGATCAGATATGGTTTAGGACTTAGGGTTTATGCTTTAGGGTTTAGGTCTATAAGAAAATATCCTAGTATACGAATAGTGTCGACCAGGATGGAAAAGTATGAAATGACATGGAAGCTGGGGTTACATAGGGATCTAAGTTTACCAATAATTTCTAAATTGAAGCCCTGAGGTTTCGGTGTGGGTGGGCTTGAGGTTCAGGCTTAGGGTTGTGGAGAGCCTGCATGAGGCCGGCCTGGTCCCTAAGCCCTACCCTAGGGGTTTAGGGTTTAGGGGTTTGGGGTTCCACGTACCTCAATGGTATGTAATCAGGGCCCAAAGTACCTCTATAGGAACTCATTTGGGCCCAAATTGTCCACCATTTGAGTACTTGGACCCTCAGGGCTAACACCCTAAATTTAGACTCTAGCCAGAGGAGATATTGGCACCAATGGAAGCCACATGGCAATTTCCATCATCTTCTCTATTGGGAAATAACCTTCAAGCTGGGCCCTAGGGTTTAGGATTTAGGGTTTAGGGTTTGGGGTTTGGGGTTTAGGGTTGAAAGTTGAGAAACCTTGCGCATGAGCTTGGTTAGGCATTTCAGGTTATGAAGGCAAGTAATAAACTTCTGAGATATCTAGCCTGTCGTGCACTGTGTAAACCCAGGTTCTGATTTGTACATCGGATCATGAAGTCCTCAGAGGGTACAGTGGGCGGGCTTTGATTCCCTGTTGGTCCTCTATTTTCCGCGAAGCCACACATACGAACTCACCGCTGCTGCCTACATCCCGGAGTCCTTGGAGGCCTAGGGGTTGGGCTGTTCTGGTTTTGAGAACTGAGGTCTCGTGACCAGCAATGAGCACACAGCGCTGAAATTCAAAATCCTGGACCACAGCATTCGACAGGCTGGACGTTGTAGCTTGCGCTTCGTAGCGTACAGTAGTCCATCTGTGATCCCCAATAGCACCCCAGTATGACCCTAACATTACCCCCAATATAACCCCAATATTTCCTAGTAGTTTCCATCTTATTTTCCATCATCCCAATATTATGTCCATCTCATTGTCCATTATCCGAAAATTATTTCATCGTATTTTCCATTATCCTAACATTATCCCCGTTGTATACTTCAGTCCTTCAAGCACGGGGAGCAATCTGGCCTTCCCCGCCAAAGATTGCAAGTTGTCGACATGAGCTAAGTTCCAAACTCCTTAAAGGGCGTTGTATGGGGGATTGTAGAGGGGACTGCTATAGGGGCTATTGAGGGGGTACTCGGATCTTAGGCTATAGCTTATATGAGCCAAGTAGCTGAACGTACACGCCGCCAGTTTGGGGATGCATCGCCAGGATTGTTAACTTGAACGATGCTTCCAGCAGAGTTTTGACTTGCTCAGTAAGGGTTTACGCGGTTGAGGGTTAAGGGACCCACTCCGGGCAATAAACCCAGATTCCATGTCATTTCCGCCTTCCTTTCCATTTGATTCTCCATGCTGGGGGCAACCTTTCTATATCCCTATGTGATCCAGTGTACCCCTTACGTCAACCCAAGGTTTCCTGCAACGGGAACCTGTTAATATCTTTACGGCTATTCTTACTACCATCATTACCTGCCATTATTACCACTACGGTTATCAGTATGATTAAACCCTAAACCCTAAACCCTTATTGTGTGGTTACTATGAACACTTTTACTCTTCTCAGCCGCAGGAGTGCAGAAAAGCCCTTGAAGCCTGCGGCCAAGAACCGGATGCTGGTAAATAAATAGGGTTTAGGGTTTATGCGTTTAGGGTTTATGGGTTTAGGGTTTATGGGTTTAGGGTTTAGGGTTTAGGGGTTTAAGGTTTGGTGTTCAGGGGTTTAGGGTATAGGGTTTAGGGGAATCAGGGAATGAGAGCAGCGGCAGCCATGGTGGCAACTATGCTGGGAACCTGCCCGTAACCCCTTTCATAGAGCTTTGTAGTAACTACCCCCTGCAACTTGTAGGTATAACACATTACGCTGTAGATACTCGAGGCTGCAGGAATACGCTTTTTGACTCGCTTGTTCCTTCCTTTCTTCCTTCCTTCCTTCCTTCCCAGCTTAACAACGGCAGAAGTGACACTTGGAACCCTAAAACCTAACTACCTCTATACAACCCGTATAACATGCCTTATATCACCCTATATAGCCCTCCTATAGCCGTACACAACTGCGTACAAGCCTATACAACTTGAAAGAGCCCTACATAACCCGTATAGCCCCGCTAAAGAGACCCCCAACATTCTAGCCTTGCTTTGAGAAACTCTTATGTACATGGCAAGTTGCGCTACAAGAGAATTCAATTGGTGGCTCTGCCCCTAAACCTGAGCCCTGAGCCGCAGTCGCTTTTCTGCCAGACAAGTCTGGTTCTATTGATCGGAATATTACCTGCGACCCCCAACTGCCCTTCAATAGGGGCTGTGTACGTCCTATTTGCGGGTACTCAGTACTCGGAATAGAGGGTACCTGGGGGTCTAGGTATAGCTCCAGGTCACAGCCCAGTATAAATGCTAGGTAGCCTTACATAACCCCATCCATGTGACCCTGCTGACCCTAATGTTGCACCCAGTTTAGTCTTAGGCCCTCCCAAAAAAAATAGGGCCACCCGAAAAATAGAAAACATGGCACCAGAATAAGGCTCCCACGGTACTGAGGGCCAGGGAAGGCCTTGGGGATTACTTTAAGGGAGGCCTTGGGGATTGAAAAGGGATGGTTTGAATTCGGCCCCGTATTTTTAGGGCGCCAAAAATAAAACACATTAAACAGGGACACACAAACTATGGCCATGTCCTGAATTAGCGGCGGCGAAAACACATTAAAGAGGGTCCCTACACAAAACCGAGTGCAACATTAAACCCTAAACCCCAAACCCTAAACCCCAAACCCTAAACCCTAAACCCCCTAAACCCTTCAACCTGAGTCGTTCACAGGGAAGTTAGCCCGGCCTACAGCCGGCGTCCTCAACCAAATGGACCTCACAGCAAGCCTCGGGGGGCCAATCTGCCATGTGTGAAATAAACTCCAGCTGGGTTGCTGTTAAGGAACTCAAATCAAGTTACCGTAGGAAGGAACCCCTATCATTTGCTATATATATATATGTAAATACCCATATTAAGGTAACTGAATTCCAGTTCCTTAACAGCAATCAAGCTAAGGGTCCATGTGCCCAAGAATTGGGTACTTGGGATTGTGGTGCTGTAATTGTAGCGCGGGGAGAAGAATTGCTGTTGTAAGAGGAGGCGAAACATGTGTGTTATGACGACTGTCATGGTGATCAATCTACAGACTTCATGTCGGCATTCAAGGCAAGCCAGGAAACGGCCTTAGTTGATTCTTGCCGTTTTGTTCATCATCTGGGCGCCCGGAATATTCTCATCCTCTCCCCATAATGATAAGCCCATATGTCCCCGCACACCCCCTCATTTTACTTATGGGGGGCTGGGGCCGGGAGGTTTACTATTAGGGGAGGGGACTAGGTTGCATGCTGCCGGCGTTGAGGCCCGTGGAGTCAAGGATAACTTTGACAATTGGAACAATTTCTTCGACCTGAAGCGGGCCTTGGCCTCTGACGGCCTCAGGTTGGTATGTCAATGCTGTTAATACTTTTAGTATTAGGAATAGTTTGGGATGTTTTGGGATAATTCGTATTATTGTTTGTATCATTAGGATTGGGAATATTTTGGGATATTTCGTATTCTTGTCATTAGTTGTATAAGCGTTCTTGCTACTACATGCTACTGAGCACATGCGGTACTTCTACTTCTACAGCTCTGTTTCTACTATGGCCAATACTGTTACTGTGTGGCTACTTTTGCCGCTAGTACTACGTTTGCCGCTACTGCTGCTGCTGCTGCTGCTGCTACTGCTTCTACTAGAACAACAACAACAACTACTACTACTACTACTACTACTACTGCTACTGCTACTGCTACTGCTACTGCTACTGCTACTGCTGCTGCTATTACTTATTCTTCTACTTCTACTTCTTCTTCTCCTACAACTACTTCTACTCATTTTTCTACTTCTACTTCTTCTTCTGCCTCTACTTCTACTTCTTCTTCTGCTTTTACTTCTTCTTCTTCTACTACTGCTACTGATATTATGAGTACTACTGTTACTACTAGAACAAGACTGAATATTTTCTAGTATACTACTAGTACAAGTAGTAGCTGCACTACAAGTGACACTTTCATTACTTTAAGGTTCGGGGGGTTGAATTCTACGGGTTTTTGGTTGCAGGTCTGGTGGGTCAGGATTTGGGGTGTTTAGGGTTGTGGGTTTTACGTTCGTGGGATTAGGGTGTAATGCCTCATGAGTCCAAATAGCCCAATGTAGGTATTATTTGTAGACTTTAGGGCCCAATGAAGGTATGATAGACTTGGAGCACCGGAGTTGGATCAGGGCAAGTTCTCCAAGAATAATTAGAGTCGTCGGAAGTGAGTCAGCGACCGGCCTTTGGGTGTCAGGACGCGCAGGGCCCATGCATCAAATTGACACACATGTCCTGGCCTAACATACGCTGACTACCGGCCTGGACCCCAAAAGTAGATAAAAGAATGGCCGAAAATCGCCAGACATCGCCAAAAGGTCCATTATTCTGCAATTTAGGTAGGGTGGTCTGGATGGAGCCTACACCCTAAACCCTAAGCCGGTGGTCGGGATCGCAATAACTTCGTGCAAAGCGCAGCGCCGGATCGTTCCGAGCCATGAGCTTTCGCGACAAGCATGCTGCATGTTGTCTAGGAGGCGCACTTCTAAATAAGGAGATTGGAAGGTATATACACGTGTGTATATATATATATATACAAATATGTGTATATATATATATATATGTATATATGTGTGTGTATATTCTGTAGGGGGGATTACCAGGTATGTCTAAGCTTCAGGGAGAACTATAGGGGATATTCTGGTTTACGGGGGTATCGGCTTTAGGTACGATTATGTGGGATATGTAGGGTTTACGGATTAGGGCATTACCCTCTTCATGTGCAGATATACCCCAAATACTCACTGTTGTAGACCAGGACCCCTATTTAAGGGTACAAAGAGGGACAAGAAAATAGTCAATGATATGAAGCACTAAATCCTCAACCCCTAAACCCTAAAGCTCAAAAACCCTCCTCACTCTCAAGCTGCACAGCAGCGATGCCATGAGGTGTGCAACGTCATGCCACCTGAGCATCGTGCACTCACTCTGCCCCTTGTCTTAAGTCAGAAGTATGGGCCCCTTGTGTGGGCCCTTAGGCCTCCTTAGACAACCCTTAAGGGTACGTATAGCTCAGGGGTTACAGAGTAGGTATATGAGGATCCCAGGGCTAAGGGCCCATACTAGGGGCCCATGGTTTCAACCTTAGATCTTGCCTACAGCCGTGCATGGAGGGTTAGGAGGATATGGTCGCAATCGGCAAATCAAACTGTGTTGTTGTTTTCTTGAGATCCCTGTCCTAGGCGGACCTAGTTTCTTGTTGCCCTGCCTCTTGGATACGCACGCGATTTAGGAGCAAAGGGGTCTTGCATGTATACATGGCAGTGGTGGTGTTACCCGGGGCGTTTGGGATCGAGCAAGAACGTTCATTCCTAGCGGCCCTTCGGTGTTAAGGCGACCTGAAGCCAGACGCATAAGTGGAAGAATGCTTCCAGGTAATGCCGAAGAAACCGCGCAAGCTCCTGTAGATCTCACATCTAACCGTTTGAGGTCTCCAGGCCAAAAGCAGCAAGACTTCCATGCCCAATCCTCAACCCTGAGTCCAAACTCCAAACCTCTGAGATCCCAATGCTGAGATGTGTAGGGGGCTTAGGGGCATATGAGACTCCACCCAAACTAACATGGTAGCCCGGCAAGAGCCCTACATAAACTATTTACTTTTGTGCTCCGGAAAAGGGACTATCTCAGCTTCCGTGCTTGTTTCCTGACTGAGGTCCCAGCTTCGGATTCTGGCAAATATGCTTCGCCAGGGCCTCAAGCACTTCTTATTACCATTGCTGTTACTAGTACTATTACAATGACTATCACTATTATTATTATCAGTATTCTTACTCTTGTTAGTATTTAATATTACTATTATTACTGTTGCTACTAGCTTCTTGTGGGGAGCTCTCAGGCCGCTGTTGCTGTGTTTGCAGCATATCCTTTGGCCTGAGAGCATTCCCTTGATGGATGAACCTCTTCCTCATGACCCCTTTATGCCTTAACCTCAGGAACTATGGTAGTATAGAAGGCGTATTAGAGTAGAGTCAGGCCGGGTTATCGTCCCTACAGACTGTGCGTACCGTGGATACATGAAGAAAGGCAGGGCTAGCTGCCTCTTCAGCCAAGCGCCAGCGCCACCGCCCGCACCAGCGCCCCCGCCACCGCCACCGCCATCATCATCATCATCATCATCATCATCAGCACCACCACACTTCTATCACGCTACCATCACCATCACCACTCCCACTACCACGACCGCAACGAAGCACTGGTCCCCTCAAGCACTCAGGAAGACGATTGGTGGAATTCGGAGGATTACCTGCGTGGTACAAGGCAAGCTCCAGAGATCTCTGGAACAAAGACAAGGCGCCCAGAATGTCCACATGAGTCGACATGTTGTAGGCCTGGAGGTTAGGGCAGGAGGAGGTGGAGGGCAAGGCAGGGTTTTATGCAGCATCGTCTTTGACGGCAGAAGTTTTGGGAAGTTGCATAGTTTTCACAACACGTCCCGCAACTGGAATCGTGGATTCGCATTCAAGCTGGCAGTTATGAGCTCTAGTGTGGAAAGAGCAGTTTGCTAAATTAGTGGAATCTGTACGCAGTCCATGTCTCGTTGGTCCTGCATACGCCCAAAATTGGGTCTCATTCTGGCACCCCTAGATATTGGGAGCCGTCAGATATTCTAGAACCAAAGTGGGCCCATGATCTTGAGAATAACCCATACAGTACCCATAGTGCCCATTTCGTGGGTAGATTGCTTTTGAATTGGCATGGATCTCTAAGTGAGGCCGCAAGATGGTAACCGTCGACCCTAGGCCCTAACCGCAGCCAAAATGAACTTTACTAATTATCAATACTATTATGTAGCCCGAATCGTCCATGTACCAAAATAGTTGGGTACTCGGTATTTTGGGACTAGTAGCAGTAGTGCACAGGTTGTGTGCTGGGACCCGGAGAAGGAACATGAAACGGACAAGTACATGGAACCTAATGGAGATTGGGGCCATATAGATTGTAGTTTTCATTTTATGTTCCATTATCCCAATATAACCCCCAATATAATCCCACCATTACCCCAATATAACCCTAGAATAATCCCAATATAATGTGTATGTACCCTAGGGTTTCCAAAAGTCAGAGTTCCCCATACTGCAATTTTTAGTGTTTCGTTGTATATGAAGAGACCTTCTCGAATTTGGCATGTTTGGGAATAGCCATCTTCCACCAGCAGCCAGTGTGGTATTGTCGCCTGCTGGCACGCGGTCCTGAAGAGCTCTTACTGAGAATTGCCCTGAAAGTCTCGAACCATTCTAGGTGAAGTCCGGGTATGTCGCCAAGTATGTACCAAAACGGCGATTATTCGGACTCATGGTAGGGACATAAGTGACACACTGAGGATGTTGCTGTTGGTGCTCCTGGTGGGTCCTCATGTGTTGCTTTCCCTGAGGGTGCATGTACCCAATAATTGGATACTTAGGGTTTTGGTAATAGTAATTATAGTACAGGTTTTGGGTAAGTATATGATTATTAGGTACTTGGACCCTTAGGGTTTTGAGCTTCATGAGTCCGTCAACCTTACCGTCGAAAAGTTTCTGTGGCTCTCTTTAGGAATGCCGGCAAAGCTACACCGCAGGAGCTTCACGTGTTGCGCGATATCCTCCCGGTCAATAGCTCCTTTTCGGAGCGCCCACGGCTGCAGTGTTGCGTTGGGGGGTTCCTTCGGGGCCAACTTTGCAGCCAAGCAAGAATCATGCTCAAGCATTTGAACTTCATAGTCCTTGCTAGAGTTAAGCTAGGGCTGTAGCTTAGAGGTGCATAGAAAAGATCAAGCACATGAGATCACGGCGAATCAGTATTCAGCAAGCAAAGACGGAGCGAGCGATGTGAGTCGGTATTCTGCAAACAGAAGTTCAACTACTCATTCTGGGCCGCAACCACCTTGTGAAGCTAACAGCCTAAGCCCAGGCTATGTCTACTTATAGTCCATTATAGTTTCAACTATGGATGCCAGGCTCTGAGGTGTTTTGTGGGGGGGACGTGGGTTGGAATGAATGTTCCTTGGACTCCGAAACCCCTACATCCCGATATGGGTTGGAATAAGTGCTCGATGGGCTTCCCAGTTCAATCAATGCGTTAAAAGCAGCTCAAAGCCCTCAGAAAGGGTTTAGGGCTTTTCAAACGGAGAAGAACGTGGAAATCAGTATTTAGAGGTTCAGGTCATGTAAAGCAAACAAAAAACTCTCGTTCATGGTTTCGAAAATGCATTCGAAAATGGGAACCACTATTTACGATTGACGGTTTTGGGGACTGACCAGAAAATGGATGGCAGAAGAAATTGGAAACTGCTCCATCATTCGGAAGTATAGGCGGGTCCCATAAGCGGTGGGCCCAATAGGTATTTGTTACAAGGCTTCTAGGGCACAGGGCTTTGTAGTCTTAAACCAATCCCCAAGGTCCAAGGACCCATATAAAAGGGATTTGGGGCCCAAATACCATTAACATTATAGTATCTGGGCCCTCAAACCCTGTTTTTTTGGGTCCTTGGACCCTTAGGGAATCTTTTTTGTTACGCTAAGCCTCAAGGCCTTAAGCTTCAAAATTGTAAATTGAACTGGCCCAGGTGCTTTCAAACACAGCGTCAGCTGCCGGACACCTACGTCATATGTCCTGAGGACCATCTTCTGCATTAGATTATTTTTGGCCTAGGGTGTGGGAGTGTTTTTTTGTTTGCTTTTTCAGGGCGGAGCCAGGCGATTTGCAAATTCAAAGTTCAGGCGAGAAGCATGAGACTTGGGACCCGAAAGATTTCTGACCTGATTTATTCTGGAGGCAGTCATGTCTGCCTAGCACCTCAACAGCACTCTCGACCGTTCAGGCGTTGAGTTGCGGCAAAATACAAGTTGGCTGGCAAGTAATGTAGACCCCTGATCAATAAACCCCCTCGCCTTAATAGGATCATAATAGGGATCCTAACATTCAGGCCCTGAGAAGGAGGGGGCTTATTGATAATGGGTCTACATTACCCCGTATGGGGTTCCCGCCAAGCGCCGCAGAAAAGGAATGAAAAGAAGAAGCTGATCTTAGCTGTGGTTAGCTGGAAATGAAGGTGTTATACGGGTCATTATAGGGATACTGGGAAAAATGGGAACTTCTATAGTGGGCTATATAGGGACTACTACAAGGGTGCATTCCTTCATTCCTAGCTAACCAAAGGCCAGTGATGCCCCAGTACCCTCGAACAGGGTCCTGGTCTCACATTGCTGTTGTGTTAGTGTCCCTGCCAGGAAGCTGGGACGTTGAATCTGTGTCGACGACAGGTCGTCTCAATCCATACTCTAGGGCAACAGCTAGTCTTGAAGGACGACCTGTAACCCCAATTGCCTGCATTTTTCGTAGTAATTACAGCTTAATTAGTAAGCATAACCCATAAAACTGTAGATAATTGGGCGGTTTACAGGTAAGGTTCAGGGTTTAAATCCTAAACCCCCAAACCCCTAAACCCTAAACCCTAGGGTCTATGTTGGGGTTGGGGCTCGGCAGTGTTGAAGATGCCTGTTGTCCCAGGGTTTGGCAACACTCCCTGTGCTTCATGAAGGTCCCTCAACCCTAAACCCTGAACCCTAAGCCTATAGGCCCCCTTAGGTAGATAGAATATAGGGTATATGGGGATCTTGTTATACTATACCCAAAGCCATATTCTGTCTACTTAAGGGGGACTGCGAGCCAGAAATAGAAGCCTATCCTAGATGATTCATGTGATTTGCTCCCAGCGTGGCCTCTTCAGCGCAGTGTTGATACAATGTGGTTGCGCTGGCCTGTGCCAGTCGCCTTTCAGGGTAGATATCCTATCTTTTAGTGGAGAGTGACATCTAAAGTCTAACTCTTTACCACCCAGAAACCCGCGGCCAAAGCTGTAATCATAGAATTCGAATTTCATGCCTTCGAATATGCAGTGGAACCAGTCACAAACCAGCGCATCACCGCTGTAGCAAAAGTTTTAGTATAGGGTCCTGGGAAAAAGTCACATGAATTAGGGAAATCCTCTGCTCATAGATGGTTTGACGCTGCAGGACGTGAAGCTGGTGGCCCTGTTCAGCGCCATAGAAAGACATGCAGAGGACAGAATCTGGGAGCGTGCAAAGAAGAAGCCCAGTCTAGCCTGCGAGATCTATTCACACACGTTGAGACCATGTGAGGGCTTAGCATGTGAGAATTGAGTGCAGGCTGTAGACGTTTTCCTTTGAGGGCTCTTAGGGGCAATAAAACAGAAATGCACACAAGGGTTGTTCTAAAGGTCCTTGTCTTCCAGTTATACTTGGGCTGACCATTCGAGAAACTGGCTCGGTGAAAGTTTCGCGACAGAAGACACTGAAGGAAAACACTTTCCGCCCAAGTTGGCGCGCTTCTGGAGAAGCAAGTGTGAACAACTGGTACATGGCTAGCTGTCAAGTTTGCATGTGGCTTCCATGTTTGCACCCCAAAGTACTCACAGTTTGATGCGCGCTGCTTGTCTCAACAAATTTCCTGCAGGGACCTTGGATGTTGGGGTTCAGGTATAGGCTTAGCCTTTTCAATGTCCGGCTTAGCCTTTTCAATGTCCTTGCATAAACCGTCTGCAATGGTCGCCTGTGCAATCGCCGCCTCCGTTGAAGGCACACCTTCTGCCAGAGAAGACGACCTACTACGTGGATGCTCTGTGTAGAAGGCGCTCAGTTGTAGAAGCTTGTGGTCATGTCGGTCTCATCATAAGGGTCACTGGGGTTATATAGGGATTATAGGGAATATCTTGGGGATATATAAGGATAACGGAAAGGAACTTGAAAACTACAGGGATTATAGGGGTCACTGGAATTGTGTCTTTTGGGTGGATACAGCCCCTGATTACAAGAAATGCATAGGTGGTCATGTTCAAGACCACGGGTGTTTTGCCGAAGTCACGGTCACAGTCTCTGCTTTGTTTGCTCCCACCAGGCTAGAGTGGCTAGAGTCAACATGTTTTGACACACCTCCACCCTTAACCCTATAAACCCTAAACCCTATAAACCCTAAACCCTATAAACCCTAAACCCAACCCTTTCTAGGGCGTCTAGAGAGTCCTAGGCTGAGATGCCATAGGTGTTGCAGCCCAGGGTCAAAGAACTCACTAACCCGTCACATACTTCCCCAAGGCTTGTACAACAACTACTAGTACCAAAATCTCAAGTACCCAATCTTTGGGTACATGGACCCTTAGGGCTTATGTGTTGTAGGGAGATGTTCTACCCTTTTTGTCCGTTTATTGGGACAGATCTGCCAAGCGCAGTTGGTGAGATGGCATTCTGACTCTGGACTCAGGGTTTAGGTTAGGTGGACCCCCCACCCAGTAATAGTGACTATAAGGGATAATAGGGATTATGGGATTATATTAGGGTCCTCTTATATGCTCATTATACCACTATTACAGGGTGGGGGAGTCCTCCTAAGGTTTAGGGTTTAAAAAGCCTCGCCTTTCAGTGCCCCAATGCATCCGTCGCAATACTCCTCCCCTTATAATATAGACCCTTATGGCTCTTACAGGATGTGTGTAGTATCCAAGCTAAACCTCGAACCGTATCCATTAGCGGATATCTCATGACCCAAAGCAGTAAGACAGGAGCTTGGTACCCTCGCTCCATTATAAGGAAGCTAAAGAGACACGTGATACAGTCATAGGGTCTTTATTTTTGTGGTTGAGGTGACAGGTAACCAAAATCGTTGTATGTTTTAAAGTCCTTAAGCCCTAACCCTCACCCCTAAACCCTAAACCCAGGACCCTTTCCTTAAGCCCCAATCCGAAGGCGTGGCGAGCTAGAGAAGTCGGCGAACGAGTCTGCAGAGAAGACCCAACGCCTCCTATCAAACACTGGCAGGGGCGTACTGCCGGGGCCCTAGTTTACAGGGGTTGGGTTTATAGGGTTTAGGGTTTAGGGGTTGGGTTTAAGGTTTAGGGTTCATTTGTTGCTCTTTGTCCACATATAATCCTTATAACTTATAAATCCATAACAAGTTGAATTTTCATAGGCCCCCCAAGCCTACATGTACCCCAGTTGAGTCAGTTGAGGGTTTAGGGGCAAGGGCCGGAGCCCGTTGGGGGCCACTTGTCAGGAAAGTTCACCCTAAGTGTCCAAGTACTCAATAAGCATCTATTTCTTCAACAACTGCACTACAATTACTATAGACCAAAAACCTGGATTATAGTCTAACCCTAAACCCAATTATAGTTACTACTACCAAACTCCCCTGTACCCAATTCTTTGGTACACTGACCCTTGAAGTTGAAGATAGTTCAGGCAGAGCATTCCAAATGTCGACCCCTGTCTTGGTATAGAGATATTCTTGGGAAATACATACAGATATATATGTATATATGCATGCATGTATAGGCATATTCTGCAGGTATATATTATAGACAGGAATACTCTAGGGGTCAAGGGCTTAATAATGGAGAATCGCATGGAAAAGAGCATGGGACATGAAATGGAAAGTGGGGTTGTGTTGGGGTTATATGAGCTATAGCCTAAATTCCTAGTATCCCCCTTAATAGCCCCTATAGCAGTCCCCTCTATACTCCCCTAGATAACCCCCTTTAGGGACTTTAGACTATAGCTCATATGTTTAGGTAGTCCGATATTGCAACTTAGCTGGCTCGGGAAATCCACCTTTCTTGTACACATCCTCCATAACAGTGGCTGCAAGGGTTTAGGGTTTAGGGTCAGAGTCCTGCGAGCAGGCACATGGGGCTTACTAGGCACGTCGAAAAAAATGGACACGCCTCAACCTCAAACCTTAAACAAGAAGGACCTTAACAGCCGATGCATACTTCCGACTTGTAATTCCATGTGCTTATATTTCAGTGGCCAACCCCACGTGTTACTAAGGTAGGGATACTCCATTAGCTGTAGGCAACGGAAGTCAAAAATATGCAATGCTCAAGAGGTATTTTGTCCCGGTAACTTACAGCCTGCAGCCCGCACAAAATCCTTTTACAAACTTTGTACAAGATTCTCAAAAATAAAGGCAAAGACCCTATGATCCTCATGTCTGGCTTGGCTTATGAAACGTAAAAGGAAGCGCAGGTCCGGGATAAGCCTGGAGTAGGCCCATCATGAGCAAAGGCCCTCACCCAGACCCTGAAGCCCCAACCCTAAACCCAATCCCCCTAGGCCCAAATACCCAAAACCCTAAACCCAAATACTCAAAACACCGAAATGCCAAGTTGGCCTCCAATTTCGCAAGACTGGGAGAAAGCGCAATGACAAGCCCCAAGCCCCAAGGGTATGCAAGGATTTAGATTTATAGTCCCCCCTTAGGTAGATAGAATAAGGGGTATATGGGGATCCTACTTTAATATACCCAAGGCCATATTCTATCTACTTAAGGGGGACTATAGGTTCAGGAGTAGAAGCCTGACAAATGGTATCATCCCCTCTTTGCCCAAAAGATTCTGTAGTAGGATCTACCCCAGAACCTTGTGCCAAGCAGAAGTAGGCCCCTGCACACGCGCGACATAAACCCCTAAATAAACAGAATGTCCTGTAAGATTTTCCAGCTCATGTTGCATATCTTTTTCTGTTTGCTTCTCCTTTGTTGGTAAAATCCCAAACCCTTCGTCCTGAACCCTAACCCCCCTTAACAGGGGTTGACTTGACATTACTCCTTAGGTTTTATTACCCAAAATCCCCATATATGTTACTTACAAAACCATAAGAATTGAGTTCTATAGCCCCCCAAATGAACCCTAGTCACTCTTTAGGCTCCTGTACCCCTCAATCCTTAAACCCGAAACCCCTAAACCCTAAAACCCCAAACGCAAAACTCTGGACCCTAACGCGAAACTGTATGAGGCTGATCCTGGACCAGCCGACAAGCCTCACCTGGCGGCACAACGTTGCCAGCTTGTCCCTGGCCCAGCTGGGAAGAGGGCTTAGGACTTTAAACTTTGAGTCATGGGTTGAGGACGTAGGACTTCGAGTTTAAGCTTTAGGATTTTCAGTTCAGGGCTCAGGGTTTGGGATT